AGGGCTAGAGCAGCAGATCTGCTGGGGGACAGCCACACTTCCCGACACCCACCTGGCACCTCTTAGCATCACCTGAGACTCAGGGCAGTGGAGCAGAGCCTCCTTCCTACTTGAGGTCCTTGAAGATAGGGCACCAACAACTTAAAACCCTCTGGAGTGAATAAGTCCTTCCTTCCTTCATCCATTAAATATTGACTGAACACCCACCACATTGCAGATGTGTGCCAGGCACTAGGAGGATGTTGGGAGGTGTTCATACCACAGCCCCAGCTTCCAGATGGTTATAACCTTGTAGAAGAAGCAAGAAGCCACACTAGGGAACTATAGTTACATATAATACGAAACAGGTCTATAGGCAGTGGGTAATAACCATGAGATCTGGACATGTGAAAGCAAGTCAAGTTCAAGTCCTGCTTCTGATTTGCTGAATGTCCTTGGAGAAGTCACTGTACCTCTGGGCCTCTCAAGTGGGGCTGAAAAGGATGGAAATTCCATCCTCTGAAAGTGGGAGGGAGAGGTTATATGGTTCTAACAGGGCAGTGGTGGGGAGAGTGCTCAAGTCAGCCACTGATTCTCCACCAGGGCTGCTCTTGCCCCCCAGGGGATATTTGGCAATGTCTGAAGCCATTTTGGTTGTCACCTAGAGGATTGTTACTGGCATCTAGTGGGTAGAGGCCAGGGATGCTGCTAGACAACCTACAGTGTGCAGGGCAGGCCTAAGATATTATCAGTAGTGCAATTCGGGAAAGTCTGGTGTTAACTGTGAAGGTCTGTGAGTGTGATTCAATGTCCGGACGCATGGGAGGAGTTCCAAGGGGATGGGTTTTTACTCTTTAGTAGGCAGGGAGGGATCCTTTTTAGCTGGGGACTAGAGGGGCACTCCCTGGGAAGACAGTCCACACCTTTACCTGTGGGGCTGACACTGCACATCTGGGCTAGTTCTGCCCATACTTGGACCAGGGAGTTGTGCCCAGAGTGCCAGGCCTCACTGTCCACGGCCTAGAGAGTTACACATCCCCACTGGGTGAGCAGGCACAGGGAGCTTGGCCCAGAGACGGAGACACGCACACTTGTGGGGGTCAGATTCAGTGAGGAGCACGGTGCCTCCCCCAGTGGCCTCAGGGGTGCTCCTGGCAATAGTTCCTCAGGTCCGCCAGGCTGGGCCTTCCTGGCTCTATGAGGCTTTTGTCAGGGCCTTGGTGGAAAAGCCCGGAGGCAGCAGCCTAGTGTCCTACCTGTGTGGCCTGTGCAAGATTACAGATCTGGAATGGAACAGTTTGGGGTAAACAGGGCTTGGGAGCAGTAGCCTGAAGGCCCTTCTCTCCGCCATCCCTGTAAACAGGGACACGACTCCCCCTCTCACTGACAGCAGCCCTCAGCTTCCAGCAGTATCCGCCGCTACCATGTTCATTGCTGTGTGTGACACCGAGCTCAGCGTGCTGCATGCGAGGGCTCACTGTTCTTTACAGCCCCCCAAGGGTGGGTACCATTTTACAGATGAGGAAACTGAAGAGCATGAGACTCAGAGAGGTTAAGTAGCCTGCCTAAGATCACTCAGCTGGTCAGTGGCAGACCTGGGATTGAACTGTGGGCCGTCTGTCATGGAGTACCAGTTCTTAGCCACTCTGAAGGGCTACTTTTGAGTGCAGCACAGGTCCCCTGCCCTTGCCTTGGGGGCTTCCATTGGAGCCCCAGCTCAAGGTGCCACTGCCTTTCTTCAGGAAATCCCAATAATGACATTTACCTTATCTATTCCCTAAGTCTTCCCAGAACTTCCACTTGGGGTTCAGAGCAAGCTGCTGAAGATGACAGTCCAGAGGGCAGAAGAGGCCCACCCAAGGTCACCTCGCATGTGGGGCAGAACTGGGGCTGGAACCCTCGTCTCCTGACTGCCAGCATAGCCCCAGTGCTGGGGGAACCTTCAGAGACATTTCTGAGCCCAGGTCTACGGCACAGGCCAGGCCTTCCACTGACGAACTGTTTTTATCTACCCATCCCTCCCTCAGTGGTGGGAGCTGCCACAAGCTGTCAGCTCACTCCAGGTGCCAGACACAAGTCTAATCAACAGCTTCCAGCCTCTCCGGGCTTGCCCAGGCCTCGGGCTGCAGAGCCCTCCCAGCTCCAGGCTCTGTCCTGCCCAACAGCTGCACCCAGCGGGACACCTGGCCTCCTCGCCGGGCCACCCGCCCTTCTGAGACAACAGACTGCACTGGCACTTGCAACCAGCCAGCCAACTGACCCTGGACGGAAGCCTGACTCCCAGGTACCAAAAGGGGAGTAGACACCCAGGCCCTGCCCCTCTGAGAGCACTGCCAGCCATCCTCTGGGGGCCAGACTTCCAGTACGGCTCACACTTGAAAAGATCTCGTGTCAGCCACCATGCCTGGACAGACACCTGCCTGCCCAAAGCTTTCCTTCTAGAGGCAGCTTTTGGGTCAGGTGTCTCTGCTATTTTCTAGTTAAGTGACTTGGGGCAATTACCTCTGTGGTCCCCAATCTTCTCATCTGTGAAATGAGATTCATATGTCAGGATTTAGATAGTGCAGTGGGAGCTGCTATAATTATTGTTATTGTCATGATTACATATATATTGTCATGTATTGTCACAACTTCCAGGAAAAGTCCCCTCTCTGTGACTACTTTAGCTCACACTTAACTCTTTCCTCTGACAGCAGTAGCACATCCGCTGTCCCATTCACTCATGGTTTTGCTTTTGTCTTATCTTTCTACCTAGAGTCCAAGCTCCTGGGAGGCCAGGCTGTACACCTACTTCCCCAGAGTTGGCTCAGCCCCTATCTCAGGGCTGGAGGTTGATAATACAAGGCAAATGACCCAGTCCTGGAATGTGCCCAGAGAATCACTTCTCCATCACAGCCTCTCTGGTTTGGTAGGGTCCAAGGAGAAGCCCCATGTTCTTCCTGTCTTGGGCTGAGCAGAGAGACCCTTGCCCCAAAGCCTGGGGTGGAGCAGGAGTGAGCTGGGTTACCAGAGACCTGCTTCATGGCAACCTGAACCATCACTGCTACAGAGAACAGGTTTGCCAACCTCTTTCCTCCCTCCAGGCTGCCCCTCCTCACCCCACCCCCACGGCACAGGCACGAGAGCAGCGCCGTTGGAATTCCCCATGGTTCGTGTGACCCAAAACTGGGGCTGCCTCCTTGGCTGGGATTTTGGGCTTGGTCATGATACCACCTGGGCCACACTGGCTCAACTTTGGGATGGTTTCAGCAAGGGGGTATGTTACTGCTGGGGAATCAGAGCACCTGGGTCCAGTTCTTTACTCTGGGTTTGGGCAAGTAGCTTTCCCTCCTGGGACCTCAGTTTTCCCATCTGTAAAATGAGCCCAAATATTAGACCTCTTGAAGGACTTTTCCCCACAGATGCCACTCTCTCCCACAAAGGCTTGGGTCCGACCCTTGAGCTGCCACTTCCTTCTCTGCATTTTTACAGTTCTTGGCGCTGGGTGGGTCAGCCCCAGCCCTCACTCTCACTTTGGAGAACCCAGCTCTGAACCCAGGCTTTCAGGAATCGGGTCCAGGGACCCAGACTCCCCCAGGTCCCAATCAGCTCCTCCCCTCGGCTCTGTGACCCAGGCCCCACCCAGAGAGATGGCCTGCAGGGGGTTTGGTGAGAGGAGGTGGTGATGCCCTGGGTTCTGTACAGTTCGCCACTGCTCCTGAAGTGTTAATCAAATTAAGTCTCCAAGAAAAACAAAAGCTCTGCAGCCACTTTGGGCTGCCTTGGAGTCGCTCATTCTCAGAACAGCTGGGAGAATTCCACATCACCTCCGTCCCCCAAGCCCTGGGTGGCTCTGACCCCGACGAACACACTCCTTCCAGCCTGCAGGGCCCCGGCTGGCTGCAATGACCTCATAGCAACAGCCATTGGACACTCGGGGCAATTTCATGGGAGATATTTGTTCTTTGGTCTTGATGCAGAGAGAATTTTTTCCTCTCCTGCTGTCTCCATGGAAACCCCAGCTACACTGTTGGCTATCCCCCTTCCCACCTCATGCTTTTCAGATCAATATTGGAGCTTGGCTCCCCACTGGCTGCCCACAGTGGATGGGGGCAGAGCTCCTGGCAGAAGGAATGGGGACCAGGGTTAACTTAAGCCTGGGGCCTGGGGAATGGTCACTGAGTGGGGATGAAGGGGTCCAGGGTCTTCTTGTTCCCTGTTCACCCACTTATCCAAGCTCATCCCTTTAGAATCCACCCCCACCCCCCAACCCCAGTCCCCCAATGAACCTTCTGTCTCTTCCCAGAGAGTCCTTTTAGGCAAGCCCAGTCAAGGAGAAACAGGCAGACAGTCAGGTCACCAGCGGTCAGCAGCCCCCACCCCACTCCTTAGGCAACGCACAGGGAGGTGGGGGCTGTTGTCCTCTTTAAGGGCTGGAGAGAATTTCTTCCCGCCCCAGGGAGAACTATGGCCGGCCAGCACCAGCTACGGGCTCTCGGAGGCTCGGCGTCGCGGTCCTGTCCCTTACCTCCTATCCTGGCTCCCGCCCCCTGGCAGAAACAGGTCGCTGCACGTCTCCAGCCCAGCCCGCAGCGCGGCGCAACTCGGCGCAGGGAACTCGCTCCTGGACTTCTGGGGATTAACCTGCTATTATGACCCAGGGTTCTTCCCCGTAATGGGCTTCCTCGGCGACCTGTCAGCTCAGCCTGGGCTGCGCCCTGCGCCTGGCTCCCCATCCCGGCTGCCACCCCGTGCTCGCACCCCTTGCGCTCTCGGGCGCCCCGGGCCGCCTAGGGTGCGGACACCGCCGCCACCCCTGTCGCCTCAGGGCTGGGAACCGGACCTGGGCAGGAGAGGGGTCCCGAGAGTGGCCCAGGCAGTGACGGCGGCAGCTGAGAAAAGGGAGCGAGTCTCGCGTCCAGCGGCGGAGACACCTGCCGGGCGCCCCCGCGCCCGCTGCCCCGCGCCGCCTGGCACCGGCCGCTGCCCCCGAGGCCTGCCCCGGCCCCCGCCCAGCCCAGCCGGGTCCCGGCCCGACTCACAGCCAGTTGCTCGCAGCGGCCGAGAAGACAGCGAAGACGAGGAGGCGCAGCGAACGCAGGCACGAGCGGGGACTCATGGTGCTGCCGCGGGCGCCCGGCCCCGGGCAGCGGCTGCGGCCGCTGGGGGCCTCCCGTCGGGGCGGCAGGTGGGCGCCCCGCGGGTGGGTTGGGGCGCAGCGCCGGGCGCGGGCCGGGGCGCGCGCGGCGGGGCTCTGCCTCCGTGCCTGCCGGCAGCCCTGCCCGCTGCTGCGCCCGCTGCCCGGAGCGGACCAGACTGTCAGCGCCGCCCCAGAGCCGGGATGCGGCGGCGGCGGAGGCGGGAGGGCGGCCGGGGGGGCGGGCCGGGGGCGGGCCGAGGATGGGGTTACCTGGGCGGGCCCAGCGGCCCTGGACACCCCCCCGGGGGCGGGCCGGCGAGGCTGCTTCTGCGGCCGCCCTGGCCCGCGGGACTGGGCTTCTCCGGGGGCCTCCCCAGCCGGGCGCCCGGGAGGACTTGGGGCCCGAGGCCGCTCCAGGCACGCCTGGCTGAGCGCCGCCTAGCCCGGCCCGACTAGAGGCGCAGCGACCCAGCTGCCAGGTCCTCGCCCAGGCCTTGGGGACAGGCGGGCACAGCTCCCCCAGCCCGCCGCTGCGGGCACTGCAGCGCCGCCCTCTCCGTCCCGCCTCGCCCCCCGCCGGCGCCTGGGAGCCCGACCCCAGCCAACCGTGCGGACCGACCCGAGCGCGGCTGCCACTCGCGTGCACCCGGTAGCCGCTCACGTTCCGGGCGCCCAGGTCTGAGCACCCGGGAGCTCGCTGCCGCCCGGCCACCCTCCCGCCAGGCCCCTCCCTGCCTCACGGTAGGCGAATCCTCTAGCCCAGCCCCTCCCTGGCGCTCACCTCCCTCCAGCCTTCCGGGAGCTGGACCGGGCCTCCCCAGCTTTGGGCAGCTTGGGACAGTGGCCGGAGGCTGCGGGAATCCGAAACCTTGCTTCTGGCTAGCCGCAAGATCGGGGCGTGCCCTAAGCAGGGGGGTGCCCCTATCTTTCTGGGCCTCTGTGTTCTCATCTGAGAAATGGATGGAAGACCGGGGGGCTGGGCGGGGGTTGTGAGAATGGAGGAAGCTTACCGAAGGTCTCTTTTTAGCAGCCCCTCACCTAGTATTGCTTTGCGCTTTGGTTTTCCGTGCTCTTGTTTAATTTGTCCTCGCATATCGGGCATCCAGCCCCTTGCTCAGTGCCTGGCACAACTGTGGGGCTGCGGTGTTTGTGGAATGAACCAGTGGGGAGGAATGGGCTGCACCCTGTGCCTCGTTGCTTCAGAGGGCTCCGTTCCACCCCCTAATAAGTGGGAAGAGTTATTTGCAGCTCACCCCTCCGCTGCAGCCCTCCCAGGTTGGGTCCCTGATCTGACTGTGTGACCCTCCGCACCCTGCCTCAGCCTGCCTCCCACAGCTACTCAGAGCTGGAGGGCCCTCTTGTCTAAAGGGGAAACTAAGGCCAGGAGAAAGGCAGGCAGGGAGTTGCCCCACCTCACTAAGGGCTGGAGACAGAGCCATAGACCAGGTCTATGTCCTTACCCCTGACCCTGTGCTCCTCAATATTTTAGGAGTGTGATGGTCGTACATGGTGCTGAGATGGTGCCCTTCACTCCTTGGAGTCTCCCCGGCTCAGCACAGAGGAGGGGCTTGGTAAACATTTGGTGTTGAGAGTGGGCAGAACGTGGCAGGGATTTGTGGGGCTAAGCAAGACTGCAGATGGAGGCTCATATACCATATGTCTAAATATTTGCAAGTTATAAATCAGGCTAACAAAATGTGAAATAAAAAATGGTCTATTCTCCTACCTTGACAAGTACACTTTCATAGCAACCTGGAAGGCCAACTTTGAATGTAGAGTTCTCAGATCCCTTGACCCTGCCCTGGAGCATGGGGCACAGGGCAAGGGGGACCCCTCCTTCCCCACCTCTGCCTCTGGCCTGCCCCGCACATGTGAACATCTCAGCCTGCAGACACAAACTCAGTCCACACCGCTCCTCTTGCAGGCCCAGGGCCATTCCTTGGGCCCAGGGCACGGCATAGCAGCTGTGCAGTTTGTCCTCAGGGGATAGGTTTGTGAAAGGGACCCAGCCACTGTTCAGGCCCTGGAAGTGAGCTTAGGGCCATCATAGCAGGGAATCCCAGGGTCCCGTGTACCTACAGTATAATCTAGAGGAGGGAGCATGGGCTCGAGGTGGGCATGTCCTGGTGGGCATCTCCTCTACCTGTGATGAGAGCTTAGCTGGAGAAGGACCAGAGTTTGGGGTCCCCAGGGCAGGGGCCACTCTTATCTAAGGATGGTACTGAGTTACTGAACTGTTTTGGGCCAACATATTTGCTTCCTGGAGTCTCAGTATGGTAAATAATAATAATAATAGCAACAACAATGACAATAATTTAAATAGCAATGGCCAACTAAGGGTGGCCATTTAATTTTCTTGCAAACCAGGACATTTTTGCTGGTGATCCGGGATTCGAAAGGGAAAATTCGCTGGGGTATCAGGCATAAAGCAAGACTCTGCCAGGCAAACTAGGATGTCTCCTGCTAAAATATTGAGGCTTCCTATGCCAGGAATGGTTCTAAGGGTGTTACATGCTGTCATTCATTTAATCCTCACAAGGAATCTAGGAAGTAGTTACTGTATGTCCCCATTTCACAGATGAGGAGTTGGAAGCTAGAGAAGTGAGTGGCTGGCCCAAGGACAGTGGTGGATCCGGGACTCCAGAGCGTGTGCTCGGTCCCCATGCTGCCCTGTGCTTGGGGCTCAGCCTTTGGGCTTAAGCCCCTGACCCACAGCACATGCCCCTTGACCTTTGGGGAGTTGCTGGATCTCCAGTGTCTCTATCTGTCAGGTGGGGACAGTGTTACCTGACTCACCTTCTCCTGGGGCTGCTAGAGACACACGAAGCAGTGGGTATGAGTCCTGTGAGCTGGAATGAGCTGGGTGGAGGAGGGAGGGAAGTGAGGCCCAGGGCCAGAAAGGCCCGCCCTGATCGTGATAAGGGAGAGGAGGAGGCCTTGGACCTGAGTCAGTGGAAAGTCTTAATGTAAAAGTCTCTTTGAGAAATGCTCTTCTAACTTCCAAGAACAGTTCAGTTGTGAAGCTATAAATACAAATTAATTAAAAAGTCCAATTGTCAATGGCTTTCATATGTAATCATATATTATGATAATAATGAATGTTTATCTGGTGCCTCCCATGTGCCCACTGCTGTTCCAGACACTTTGCTTATGTTAACTCATTTACTCCTGGTCACCTAGGAAGTAGGTACTGCTGTTATTGCCATTTACAGGTGGAGAAACCCAGGAGTTGCTCTAATGTGCTTTAAGATATATCAGCAACCCTATGACATAGGCACTATTAATGTTAATTCTCCTTTTACCCACGGGAAACTGAGGCACAGAGCAGTAAAATAGATTGTCTACAGTCACGTAGCTAGTAAGTGGCACAGCTAGGGTTTAAACACAGGAGGTCTGGGTGCTAAGCCACCCACTAACTGTTCAACAGACAAGAGCCTTCCACATGTAAGGATTAATGTCTGGGTCTGGAAGCAGAAGGTCATAGGGTCTCTCTAGGCTTCTCCTGAAAGTTCCTATAAATCCTGCAGGCCTGAGGTGGGGCCTTTCTTCTCTGTGCCCAGTGTATTGAGTGCCCCCCATGAAATGGCATCTGAACACATCTTGGTTGTTTCCTTTTCCTTGGTTAAAGGGGACAATTCTTTAATTTTGGAGCAGTCCATTTTTGGAATGAGTTCTCCTTCCTTACTAACAAAAGGAGGGAAATTCACCAAACAAGGGAAACCTGGCTAAGTTTTTAATGAGAAAGAATAAAGAATCACATACAGTTTGTCTAAATTATCTGCAGCTCTCAAGGAATGGCTCCAAAGCAACATGGTCGGGTGTGTCTTCAGCTCAATCTTAGATGCACCCAGTACTGGAGTGTCTGGTCGGCTGTTGACTGGGATTTCCAGTCCAGCTTCCCAGATATTTGAGGTGGAGAAACTGAGGGCCTTGGCTTGGGGTCTGTAACATTTTTAAGCCTGTGCATGCATTGTTGATGGAGATCCAAAGCAGAAGGTCCCTCTGCTGCCATCTTGGCCTGTGCCACCTGGAGTCTGGCTAAATGGATCTGTACGGCCACCTCTTCCAGAGCTGTCCACCCTGAGGCCCTGATCAGGAAGGGGTCAGGAAGCCTCATCAATCTCAGCCAGTCATGTGTGTTTGTGTGGACTTAGGCAGCTCCCTGGCACTTGCTCCCTAAACACCCTTCAGGGAAGCTAGGGAGGGGATAAGGTGGAATGTCAAGTTCTTGGAAAGACCTGTATTTGTTTCCAGCCCTGCCAAATCTGAGCCTCAGTTTCCTCATCTGTGCAATGGGGATCATAAGAGACATTGTGAGGAGTCATTGTGATAACATGTGTAAAGTCTTGTAAGCACGTGGCCCAGCTTCAATGAATGTTGGGCAAGGCTGCAATCAATGTGAGCTCTTCATCTTGTTTTATGGTTTAAACCAGAAATCACACCCCAATGGTCTGCAGGTGTATTTTGCTTGGTGCACCCTGTGTTTTTAAATATATGAGTTTGTTGACAGCATTTTAAAATAGGGAGATTTCATATAAGAAGCAGGATTCTCAGCTTCTCTTGAAAAGTGGGGAGGTTTGGCAACAGGACACCCATATTCTTGGGTGAAGGAGAGTGACTTCCACAAGTTTTTAACGGCCCACTGATGTTCCTGTGGCCCCTGACTGAGCTCTGTGGGAAGGAAGGAAGCCAGTATTTCCCGAGCATCCTACTTTGTGACAGGGACTGTGTTAGGGAAATATGCCTCCATATCGCATTTAATCCTCACTGTAAGTTATTAGAACCTTTATTTTGCCAACAGGGAAATAGAGGCTCAGAGAGTTGGGACTAGTTGCCCAATATCACAGTGTTAGCAGATGGTACAGACAGGACTTCCAGCCAGGACTTGTGTCACTTTTCTCTTTCTGGGCTCTCTTCCCACCCTTAGCCTCACGCAGGGCCCGTGACCTGCTGGGGGGACTGACAGCTGGACTTAGATGTGTGATGGCCATGCCTCTGGTTCCCCTTTACCTTCAGACCCCCAGGGGGCTATGGAATTAGGGTCAGGTTCAGGAATCAGTGTGTACCTCTAGAATTCTTAGAATAAAAACTCTCTTGTCTCCCTATAAGATAGTTG